TCTTCCGCCTCAGCCTCCCAGGTAACTGGGATTACAGGCATGTGCCACCATGCCCAGTTAATTTTTGTATTTTTAGTAGAGATGGGGTTTCACCATGTTGCCCAGGCTGGTCTTGAACTCCTGACCTCAGGTGATCCATCTGCCTCAGCCTCCCAAACTATTGGGATTACAGGCGTGAGCCAGCGCACCTGGCCGTGTTTTTTATTTTTAGTAGAGACGAGGTCTCACCATGTTACCCAAGTCGATCTTGAACTCCTGAGCTCAAGCAGTCTTCCTGCCTTGGTCTCTCAAAGGGCTGGGATTAGAGGCATGAGCCACTGCGCCTGGCATGTTTTTAATGCTTTACATAAGCTTGGCATCTCAAGTCTTCAATTCCTCTGAAAAAGAATGGCCATTCTGTGGAATTTCTGATCTCTTTTCTGATCTCCTCAGTTTTCACATCCATAAAATGAGCGACTGGGTCTCTTTCAGCTCTGGTGTATTCCAGGGAATGGGAGGGATCTGTGTAGCCAGTCTCCTCAGAGCAGGGCCTGCCTGAATGTCTGCCCCTCCCACCCTGCCCCCTGCACCAGGCAATGAGACCAACACCTGTCTGTGCCTCAATGCCACCGCGTGTGAAGCTTTCCGGAGGGGCTTCCTAATGCTGTACCCCTTCAGCACTGAGTACTGCCTCATCTGCTGTGCCGTGCTGTTTGTCATGTGGAAGAATGTGGGCCGCAGTGTGGCACCCCACATGGGTGCCCACCCTGGCACCGTGCCCTTCCACCTGCACGGGGCCATCTTTGGGCTGCTACTGGGCCTGCTGGTGCTGTTGGCAGGCGTGTGCGTCTTTGTGCTCTTCCAAATCGAGGCCAGTGACTCTGCCATTGCTTACCAGTACTTCACTCTCTACTATGCCTTCTATGTGGCTGTGCTGCCTGCCATGAGCCTGGCATGCCTGGCGGGCACAGCCATACACGGGCTGGAGGAGCGAGAGCTGGACACAGTCAAGAACCCTACCCGCAGCCTGGATGTGGTGCTGCTGATGGGTGCTGCACTGGGCCAGATGGGCATCGCCTATTTCTCCATTGTGGCCATTGTGGCCAAGCACCCGCATGAGCTGCTCAACCGCCTCATCCTGGCCTACTCGCTGCTGCTCATCCTGCAGCACATCTCTCAGAACCTCTTCATCATCGAGGGCCTGCACCGGCGCCCACTCTGGGAGGCAGTTCCCGAGGGCCTGGCAAGAAAGCAGGAGGCTGAGCCTCCCCGCAGAGGCTCCCTGCTGGAGCTGGGCCAGGGCCTGCAGCGGGCCTCACTGGCCTACATCCACTCCTACAGCCACCTCAACTGGAAGCGGCGGGCCCTCAAGGAGATCTCACTCTTCCTCATCCTCTGCAATATCACAGTAAGTGACTGGGCTAAGGGGTCTGGGGGATAGAGGCGCCAGGCAGACCCAGAAATCCTCACTCAGGAAGGGATGGATCAAGGACACATCTTTTTCCAACTAGCTTGATGCTGCTTAAGAGTGTCCCCCCAGTTCCCTACAAGGTGCCTGGCATGAATGAATGTGCCAAGCATTTGGCTAAGTGCTCTTCACAAACAAGTACGTAAGACTTCTACCTTCCAGTGACTTCCCATCTAGTTGGGAAGACACCACTGAATTCATCATCCCTGGATTCAGTCAAAGGAAGAAATCAGGAAGTACCTGATTTTCTTTTTTTTTTTTTTTTGAGATGGAGTCTCACTCTGTTGCCCAGGCTGGAGTGCAGTGGCCAGATCTCAGCTCACTGCAAGCTCCACCCCCGGGTTCACGCCATTCTCCTGCCTCAGCCTCCCGAGTAGCTGGGACTACAGGCGCCCACCACCTCGCCCAGCTAGTTTTTTGTATTTTTTAGTAGAGACGGGGTTTCACCGTGTTAGCCAGGATGGTCTCGATCTCCTGACCTCGTGATCCGCCTGTCTCGGCCTCCCAAAGTGCTGGGATTACAGGCTTGAGCCACCGTGCCCGGCCGAAGTACCTGATTTTCTAAGACATTCCTAGTGGAAGATGTTGATAATGGTTGCCCAGTTTCTGGTGGATATCCCAGGTACACCTTTCTATGCAATATCTCCATACCTCATTGAATCATCACAGTAACTCCATGCAACAGACACTATTGCTGTCCCTTTTCACAGAGGAAGAAACTAAGGCTTAGGTTATTGGACCTGCCCAAGTACCCACAGCCTGTAAGTAGCAGGGCTGGGACAACTCAGGGTTGTTTGACCCCAAGCACTCAATGCACTGAAAACATACCCCAGAAATGAAACCTCTGGTCCAGGCAGAGGATAAATTGGCTCTAAAGTGCATTAGGAGCTCAGCAAAGGAACTGCAGGTCTGTATAGCCAAGGAAGGCTTCATGAAGGTTTGATTTGAGCCTTGAGGAATGGGTAGAATTTGGACAGGAAGGTAGGAGGGGGCAGGGGGTCATAACTAGCAGAAATGACGGGGCACAGTGGTTCACACCTGTAATCCCAGCACTTTCGGAGGCCGAGGCAGGAGGATCCCCTGAGCCCAGGAGTTTAAGACCAACCTGGACAACACAGGGAGACCCTGCCTCTACAAAAAAATTTTAAAATTAGTCTGGACACGGTGGCTCACTGGACACAGTGGCTCACAGTGGCTCACAGTGGCTCACAGTGACTCCCAGCACTTTGGGAGGCTGAGGTGGGTGGGTTACTTGAGGCCAGGAGTTGGAGACCAGCCTGGGCAACATGGTAAAACCTCATCTCTACTAAAAATACAAAAATTAGCCAGGCATGGTGGTGCACACCTGTAATTCCAGCTACTCGGGAGGCTGAGGCACAAGAATCGCTCGAACCCAGGAGGCAGAGGTTGCAGTGAGCCAAGACTGTGCCACTGCACTCCAGCCTGGGTGACAGAGTGAGACTCTGTCTCTTAAAAAATAATAATAATAAAAATAAAAATTAGCCAGGCATGATAGTGCATGCCTGCAGTCCCAGCTACTTGGGAGGCTGAGATGGGAGGATCACTTGAGCCTGGGAGGTTGAGGCTGCATTGAGCTGTGATCCTGCCACTGCACTCCAACCTGAGTGACAGAGTGAGACCTTATCTCAAATAAATAAATAAATAAATAATAAAAATAAAAAGTAGCTAGCCGAGGAGTGAAGCCCGAGCTCAGGGTACAGGGTGGGGGTGCCCAGCTTGACAGAGCAGGTGGCACGCTGGGAATTCCTGCCTCTCCCCACACGTGGTGGCAGCCCGGGGTCTCCTGACCCATCTGAAGTTCAGGCTGGCCACAGGCAAGCTCACGGAGATGGCTGGGGATGGCCAAGGCCTTCTGCAGTAGAGTGAGAAAGATCCGGGGAAAGAAGAGCTCATGCTGAAAGCCCAATGGTTAGAGGAAGATTGAGTGGGAGGTGGGGGTGGCACTGAAGGGGCTGCAGGTTTGGGGGCTGCCTCCCCTGAACTGAGTGCCTTAGGGCACAGGAGAGCCCTTCCCTAACTCAGCACGTCCTCTCCCCCAGCTGTGGATGATGCCTGCATTTGGCATACACCCGGAGTTTGAGAATGGGCTGGAAAAGGATTTCTACGGCTACCAGATATGGTTCACCATCGTCAACTTCGGCCTGCCTCTGGGGGTCTTCTACCGCATGCACTCTGTGGGAGGCCTGGTGGAGGTCTACCTGGGGGCCTGAGGCTGCCCACCCCCGGCAGAATCTTGAAGTGCCAAGGCAGGGAAGATGGTAGCCCAGATGCCTCATTCTGAGGTACAGAGACCAGCCTGAGGCTCCCAAAGCCTCCTGCCCCCCAGAGCCTCACTGAAGGGGAGGGCACGGCCTATAGTCAGAGGCCAAGGGCAGGGGCCTGGACACTGAGCTTCTGATGCCCATGGCCAGGCCTGGGCACATGCCTGCCCCCTGCCTTTCCACCACAATCAGCGAGCCAACGGTGCACCCCAGGAGGCTGGCAGGGGCCCCCTCACGGCTACTCTCTGGGAGGGTCAGACCTACATGACCGAGTCTGGGGAGCTTAGCGAGGGGCGCCCCTCTCCAGCCAGGCCTCAGGGGTCTGCCCCCTGCTGCAAGAAGTGCACCTGGTCCTAGTGTGGCTCTGGACATCCTCAGAGCTCAGAGCTCCGAGCTGGGAGGCCAGCTCCTTTCCCCACACACCTATCTCCTAATGAGCTCATTCATTAGGTGCCAGGCAGGGTTCAATAGCTCTCTCCTGCGGCATAAACCCTATTTGTTTGATCGATTTTTTGCATTCAGGCTTGTGGCATTTGTTCCCAGGAACAGAACTGCTCCTTCAGGCATGGTGGGAAGGAATGGTCCTTTTGGGTAGGGCTGTGGGGCTGGGATAGTCCTGCTCCTGGGACTGTCCTCCTGGGCCAGGAGGGTCACCCAGTTCTTCCTTGGTCTGATCCAGGGGAGGAGGTGGGAGAGACAGGTCGGGGCTCGTGTCTCTCCACCCCCACCCCTCCCCAGCACACCCTCTGTCTAGGACAGAGCCCCCACTGACATTCTGCAGCTGGCTCTCCATGCAGGCTGTGGCCCCTGGCTGATCTCCTGAGCCATCAGGTGGGGCAGGAATGGAAGGGAAAGGGCAGGTGTGGCAGGCCATCCATCTCCCTGAGCCCAGTGCAAACAGCGGGCTCTGCCTGGGGCGAGGCCAGAGAGGGCAGCCCTGGCCCTGCAGATGAGGCTCTGCCCTCCTCCTCATGCCCCCCCGCCACCCCCTGCCACCAAAGTGAATCACTAGCAAGCACAGCCCTGCCCGCGCTGTCTCAGTAGCTGCCTGGGGTGGCCCCATGGCTTCTCCTGTGGGCTCTTTCTCTGGGTGGCAACAGCCCAGGGGCCCCAAACCCTAGGTGACAGGGTCTAATCCTGCTTTCCCACCCAAGAAAATAACAAATGCTGGTTCCCAGTCATGCACTGGGGGCCCTCTGAGGTGCAGAGTCCCCAGCTCCAATGAAGACAAGAGCCACACCTGGCCCCTCGCCTCAACCACAGAGTCAGAATGTGGAGCAGGAGGTTTTATTGTAAAGAGGCCGATTGTACAGAGCAAAGATTGTTCTGACACAGGGGGTTGGGGGGCGGGACCCAGGGGCCAGAGCTGGGGGAAGGATGAGGGGGTGACATCGCCCCATCCAGGCAATGGGCAGGGCAGGAAGGACTAAATGGCTCCCCCTGGTTCCCTTCCCTACCCCTCATTACTGGGTAAGAGGGAGCCAGGCTATTTCCACAGACCAGGAGAATACAGCGGGAGACCCTCACCACCCCACACCATGCCCAAGTATACGGGAGGTGCCCCAGCCTGGCTTTTGCAGTCAGCCAGCTCCCAGCCTCCTTGAGGAGCAGCCTGGCCACACCTATTTCCCCTGGAGCCTGGAACAGCTGGCTTCGGGTTAGGAGGCTGGAAGCACCCCCTCACCCTGCCCAGGCACCTCAAGGGACAGCCCGTGGTTCCTTGGTCAAACCCCTTAGGGCACAGTGACCTGATGGCTTCTGCCTCTGGCACTGGGCAGGACAGGAGTGGGTGGGCACTGAGGGGACAGCACTGAGCCAGGTCTTAAAGGGGGAGTCTGACTATTGGGGGCAGTGGTCTCTGGTGGGGGCTTAGCCCCGGAGATGAGGCTCCTGTGAGTCCAGCCTAGGGGTTGAGGGAGATCAGAGTCGGTCCACATTGTCCTGGCCACAGGGGTCTCTGGGGCCTGACACTCAGGACTCGGTCACTCTGCCTGTCCCAGGCCCTGATTGTGGTAATTTAAAGCTCAGAATGGTGGGTCAGGGAAGCCGCAGGGACCAGGGCCCTGCCTTCCCCTAGACTGAGTCCCTCGTCGGCTTCATCCTCACACCCGCTGTATCTCAAACAGCTTCACATCAGTGTCGTACCAGACAGGGGGGTCCACATTCCTGTGGAGGAAGTGGGGGGTTACCCAGGTGCTGGGGCACCTTGCAGACAAGGCACCAGGAGGAGCTGGGTGGCAGGAATGGCCAAGCCAACCCTTTCCATCGCGATGTCCCACCCTGGGCTGCAGGTGCCACCCTCAACCAGGCAAGGCTGCCTTAGTTGACTGTCTTGACATGAAGTCCACCATGGGTGGTGGGGCCCAGAGCTGAGGTCCCTGCTGAGCCCTGCTGGGCAGGCTCTCAGGCGGACACCACCCCACCCCCCGGGGCCCACCTCAGATAGATGACGCCCCACATGTAGGTGCGGAACCACATGGCAGTGCCCGAGTTGGCCTGGTACTTGCGGATGAGGATGGGGTGGGGCACGGGCAGCAGCCCCACCAGGGTGCCATGCTGCAGGAACCGTAGGATCTCAGACTCATCCGTCAGGCCCCTGCAGGGAGAGGGGTGTCTCCAGCACACTCACGTGGTCTAGAGGGGCACAGGGCTCACTCTGGACTCCCAAGACCCATGCTTCCCATCATACACCCACCTAAGCCTAGACTGGCCCCGCCCAGAGTCCACCTGCCCACACCCCTGGCCCCGCCCACACCCCGGCCCCGCCCACACCCCCTGGCCCTGCTGGCGCCCCACTCACTTGTCGATGCAGATCTTCTCCACCTGCGGAACCAGCACCTGCAGCAGCCTCATGATGGTCTGCAGCGGCAGCTTTGACTTCCAGGAGAGGACCTGGGGAGGGATGGGGTTCCTGGGGCTGAGAAAGCAACCCCTGGAGGCTGCAGGGCAAGCCTGACCCTGACCCAGAACCACAGGCTCCCCAAGGCAGAAAGCACCCCTGCTCCCTGCAGCACGAGCCTGGCACCAAGCAGGACCCCAGAACAGTTCATTGTTATTGATGGCAAGCGCCATGGCTCCACATAAAGCCATGGCTCCGCATTAAGCCATGGCTGTGCCACGTGCCTTTCGGGAGACTGTCGCCTTTAGCCCTCACAACAGCGTGGTCAGGCAGGAATGGCAGTTATCCCTGTTCCAGTGCAACTGGCGTGATCTCAGGAGACACAGGGCGTGGGGATGAGATTCAGGGAAGGAAGTCGGAAAGAGTGATTTATTAAGGAAGGGAGCACTGAGGGCGCCTGGGGCTTAATCCTGCTGGGGACTCTGGCAACAGTGGAGACAAAGGAAGCAACCGAGCCAGAGAGGCCGAACACGTGGGATGTCACCAGCCGGAAGGACCGAGCCGGAGCCAGGCTGCTACGCCAGGGTCCTTCGATTCGGACTCATTGCCATCCTCACTGAGCTTCCCTGGGCCAGGGAACCCCAACCCAGCTCCCGCCCCTGTACCATCTGCCCAAACCCCAGCCCCTGCTCGCCTGGCATGGGGTCCCTCACCCACTCCGGCGTTGGGCTCCACTGCCCACTGGCTGATGAACTGGATGGTCGCCGCTGCTCCCTCCATGCCTGGCTGGGCTCCTGGCCCCCAGAAAAGAACAGGGGTGAGGGATGGCAGGGTTGGGTGAGGGGTAGAGTGGGGGGCAATGAGCCCTCTCCACTGGCAGCTGGAAATCCCACAAAGGGGAAGGCCCAGCCCAGCAGCCTTTGCCCCAGGCCCCAGGCCCAGCCCAACCTAGTGACAGGTTTAGGGCCAACGGCTGACAGGGCAGGCTGGGTAAAGGCCAGCTCAGATAAGGCGGAGGGATGAGAAGTCTGAAGGCCAAGGGCTTCGCCGGGACCAGTAAACAAGGGAGGGATCTGTGAAAGGCCCCCACCCCCAAGGGAGTCAGCAGCGCTGGCCCTGATGTCCTGGGCACTGGGTGTCTGCCCCTCTGCTGCAGGTGACCCCAGAGTGCCCCGGCCCAGCCCCCACTGCAGAGGCCGGGGAGAAGGGAAGGGCCAGCCACGCCTGGCTCCAGGAGTCCCCATCACCCACCCCCTTGGCCGGGCTGCCGTCCTCTGAGCTCTGCTGGGGCTCAGGCTCCAGGGACCGCAAGGTGCCATCCTCTGACACCTGGGACTTCTCCGTCAGCTTGTCAATGCCTGGGCAGGGCACAGGTGGGAGTGAGGACCCCCCTCCACAGTGCCCCTTCTAGCCCTTCCTCCACCCACTTTACTTTTTATTTGTGTTTGTTTTACTCCTGCTTCCCTCTGGAACCTCCGCTGGCTCTAGAGGCAGTGTCTGATCATTGCAACACCCTCTCCTGTGCTCATCCCTCCAGAGTCTACACTCGCCCTGAGGCTCTGCCCCCAACACCAAGCTACACATGCTAAGCCCACCCAGTACCCTCCCCCCATCCCTGTTGGCCAGCCCCATCCTCTCGGATTCCATACACAAGCCACGCTATTTGCCAGAGATGGGGGTGACACCCTGAGACCGTGTCCCTCCCCCAGCCACACCGGTATCCACGCTCCTCTCCCTTCCACTAGCACTAGACCTGGAGTAGCCACCAGGCTGGTCTTGAGGGTGCCTGGCTCTGCAGGGGCGGCGGGGCGGGAGCCCTCCATGGAGGTGCCCTCCTGGGAGCCGGTGCGAGACAAGGGCTCGGGTGTCCGCCGGCGCCGCTGCAGGGCCTTGTGAATGGTGGGTGGGTCCGTGGGCAGGTTGGCCAGCTGATGGAAGACGCTGCGCTTGCGGATGATGGCGTAGACCAGGTTGGAGTTGCCTATGGGCAGGGAGCATGCCTCACCTCAGGGAGGCCCCCTCCAGCTCCCCCGGTCCAATCTGGGTGGGCTTCCTGGAAGGGGGAGTTTGGAGGACAGGAGGGTGTCTGCCCAAGGGGTTGGAGATGGTACAGGGAGCCCAAGAGAGAGTGCTGGGGCAGGGCTGCTGGCACTGGCTATGTGTGCCCACTATGGCTATCCCAGCATGTCAGACCAGAGCACCCCACAACACCCCTGCCCCAGTGCCTTTGAGTCCCCCTCCACAACCCAGCACTAAAGGGCTAACACCTGGCAAGGAGGACAGGCCCCAGCATGGCAGCGTCCACAGCAGGCCAGCTGTTAAGTATTCTGACTCTCCCCGAGCATGGTGGCCAGGAGGAGTCACGGAGGATAACGTGGCGTGTGCCTGCCGTCCATCCCCCACTGCTGACTTCTCCCAGCTCTCAGGCCCCATTCCCCATCTCTGGTCCGCCTCATGCCATACTCTTCACTTTCAGTTCCACATCCCACCCCAGGGCCTTTGCATGTGCTGTCTCCTGCCCCACCTTACCCCTATTTCTCCCTCAGAGATCACTGCAAATTTGACCGACTTTGGACATAGCAATAATAAAAATTGATCATTTTTAAGTTGCCAGGCACTGTGCTAAGTGCCTTCTGGGGGTTATTTTGCTCAATCTTCCCAATACCTTCTGAGACCAGGACTCTTAGAACCATTGTTATGAGCAACTTACAGATGAGGGCACTGAGGCTCGGAGAGGTCAGGTGACGTGCCCCAGTCACAGGGCTAACGAGTGGCAAGGCTTGAAGTGACAGCAGGCAGCCGGGTGTCTGCGACACTGGGCAGACAGGCTGCTAAGATGCCCATCAGGGTCTTACTACTCTGCACTTCCCTTTTATCACACTTCAGGCCAGGTGTGGCAGCTCACGCCTATTATCCCAGCACTTTGGGAGGCCGAGGCAGGTGGATCATTTGAGGTCGGGAGTTTGAGACCAGCCTGGCTGACATGGTGAAATCCCACAAAGGGGAAAGCCCAGCCCAGCAGCTCATGCCTGTAACTCTGGTGCTTTGGGAGGCCAAGGCAGGCAGATTGCTTGTCTCTACTAAAAGTACAAAAAGTTAGCTAGGTATATTGGGGGGCGCCTGTAATCCCAGCTACTTAGGAAGCTGAGGCAGGCGAATTGCATGAACCTGGGAGAAGGAGATTGCAGTGAACCAAGATCACGCCACTGCAGTCCAGCCTGGGTGACAGAGTGAGATGCCATCGGAAAAAAAAAATTCAGATGTCCATTAGAGGGTAATTATCTGTTTGAAGCCTCCCTCCCTGCCTCCAGCCCCAGCTGTGAGCTCCACAGGGCAAGAAGCAAAGCTTTGTTCCCCACTGTATCCCCTGCACCCAGGTACACTATAGATGCTCAATAAATGTACACTGAATGAATGAACTGGGGGCAGAAGGCAAGCAGTCCAGCACCTCCCAGAGGCCACCTCCTGGGCTGTGCCCTCCTTAGGTAGGAAGGAGGCCCACTGGCCACCCTGATCACCAGGGCCTCAGGCTGGTGCCTCACCGTCAAACTGGTACTGGATGATGTTGTTGAAGACCTCCAGGAGGAAGAAGACCAGGTGGTGGTTCTGGGCGGCAGAGAAGAGGAACCAGGTGGTGGAGAAGGCCTCCAGCAGGTGCAGCAACTTGTTGGCAGTCACCATGGACAGGCTCTTGAGGTAGGGGGACACTGTAGGGGAGGGGCCAGCTCACTCCTGGGCCCCCCACCCCACCAAGCCATCCCTGCACATCCTGGGCCTGGGTGGAACAACAGGCTCCTGCTCCCAATCCCTCCCTGACCCCTGCAGAGCCAGGAAGTCCAAGGCCCAAGAGGCCGAGTCCACACTGGCCATACTGTGTGCAGAGTCCTGGGAGGCAGTTAGGCCTCACCCTCACCCCTCGACTATGAAGACAGCTTGTCCTGCTTACACAGCCACACGCACCCCACCCATGCCAGTCCCCCCATACCATGAGGGAGGCAGGACACAGACAACATCATCCCCATTTTACAGATAGGTAAACTGAGGCTCAAAGAAGATTGTAAACTTGGCCCAAGTTCCCCAGTAATGAAATGATCGTGCAAGGATACAAACTCAGGACTTTAAATCTTTCTAGAACGTCAAGCTGTCATGTCACTAGAGATGTATTTTGGGGCCCCACCCTGGGGGCACACCCAGCCTGACATTCCACGCTGATCTATCTGCACGCTTCCTTATCTTGTGTCATTTTCCCTCCCTAGGCTGAGGGCTCCGCAGGGCAGGGACCGGGGCTGTCTTATTCACAAATGTGTTCTCGGAACTGCCTCAGTTGAGATTTGTGAGATGGAGCCAGAGGGTGAACCAGGAGGGAAAGGGACAGTCCTGGCCCCAGAGATCACAGCCCAGCTAGAGGCCTCTACCACCCCACACTACCCACCCTGCAGTCTAAACCAGGCCACAGACAGGCCAGCCGGCCCTAGCCACGACCATCCTCTCCAAAAGATGTTCACATTGAAGGCATTTTGCCCCAGCCCTTGGCCACCTGCCTTGCTAGGTCCTGAACCCCAGGGAGCCTGACTCCTTCTGCTTCCTCTCCCCAGCAGCTGTGTGCAGTCCTTGCTGGGTGAGGGTGGGGACTGGACACGGATGGCAAAGGCAGAAAGGGTGGGGCTTCCACATCCCCATATTGTGTGACTCCAATTATCCAAACCTGCACTGCCCAACACAGTGGACATCAGCCATGTATGGCCACTTCGTGCTTGAAACACAGCTAGTCCTAATGCGTATGCTGCACAAATGAAACACACAAGAGGCCAGACACAGTGGTTCACGCCTATATAATCCCAGCACTTTGGGAGGCTGAGGCAGGAGGATCATTTGAGCTCAAGAGTTCAAGATGAGCCTGGGAAACAGTGAGATCCCATCACTATAATTAGAAATAAAATGAAATATGGCCGGGTGTGGTGGTTCACGCCTGTAACCCCAGAACTTTGGGAGGCCAAGGCAGGCAGATTGCTTGAGGCCAGGACTTCGAGACCAGGCTGGCCAACATGGCAAAACCCTGTCTCTACTAAAAAAAAAAAAAAAAAATTAGCCAGGCATGGTGGCACATGCTGTGATCCCAGCTACTTGGGAGGCTGAGGCATGAGAATCACTTGAACCCAGGAGGTTGCAGTGAATGGAGATTGTGCCACTGCACTCCAGCCTGGGCAACAGAGAGTAAGACTCTGTCTCAAACATAAAAAAATAAAATTAAATAAATAAATAAAGTAAAAGTGTTATTGGACTACCAATGGCTCCAATAAACAGGGCTAAACTCCTTCAGATGTCAAAGAAATGGTTAAAATTTAAAAAAGAAAAAAGGCCAGATGCAGTGGCTCATGCCTGTAATCCCAGCACTTTGGGAGGCTGAGGTGGACGAATCATCTGAGGTCAGGAGTTCGAGACCAGCCTGGACAACATGGCAAAACCCTGACTCTACTAAAGACACAAAACTTAGCCAGGTGTGGTGGCACACGCCTGTAATCCCACCTACTCAGGAGGCTGAGGCATGAGAATAGCTTGAACCCAGGAGGAGGAGGTTGCAGTGAGCTGAGATGACGCCACTGCACTCTAGCCTGGGCGACAAGACTGAGTGTGAGAAGGGAATATTAAATATCTCATTAGTAATTTTTACATAGGCTACATGTTGAGATGATGGTGTTTGGGATATAGTGGAATAGATAAAACATGTTATTAAATTGTTGTCACCCTTTTTTTCTAATGTGGCTACTATGAACGGCACACAAGTTTGCTTTCTTTCTGTGGGCTGGAGGGGCTTGAACCCCGGAGCGGGTGGCAGGTTGGCCTGTGGCCTGGCACCACCTGGCGGTGAGTGCAGGGAGTGCGAGCTCCGGGTCCCTACCGTTGACCACGATGGTGAGCAGGCAGTCGAAGAGGGGCTGCAGCCGCTGGTGCCCGCTGGTGATGATTTTGTGGAACACCTGTGCCGGGAGGGACAGGGGCACTGTGGGCTCCCCGCTGCCTCCAGACTCAGCCAAGAGGACGCCGCCCCTGCGCCAGCTGGGCCCAGCCACACGAGCCCCCTCACCACAATGAGCAGGTCGGCGTGGGTCCCCGTGAAGACTGGGATGTCCATGGGCACGCGAACCGAGTAAGGCTTGTTCAGCCGCACCCCAAAGTTCCGCTCCCCGCTCAGAAGCAGCAGGATGAAGACACCAATGTGCATCAGGCCCACCCGAGCTGCGGCAGGTGATGTGGGAGGGGTCACTCGGGTGAGAGGGGGAGGGAGGGGCCCAGACAGGGACCATTTTGGGGGCCTCCCTCCCGGGAGGTTAGAGTGCCAGGCCTGAGCTCCTGGGAGGCAGGGCAGATGGCGGGCCCTCCACCTCGCCACCAGGAAAGCCCCCAGCATCCCACCCCACCCTGGTCTTACATTGATCGGCCCGGGCATCGTTGAGGAAGAAGAGGATGGGGACAAGGATGTCTAGGACGTCACTGCTCTTCAGTACGAAGAAGAGGAATTTCTGGGGGTGCGGGGAGGGACCAAGTGGGCTGAGTTCAAGGGAGGGGCAGCTCTGCCCCACCCCCCTCGGTCTAACACTGTCCCCGCCCCTGGGCTATTGGAGCAGCTGCTCTCCATCTTCCTGCGGGGTCCCTCCAGGCTGGCCCACCTTGTTGAAGTCGCAGAGCTTCCAGAAGAGAACTAGCAGCTCCTGGTGGAACTGGATCTTCTTGGTGGAGTTGGGCAGGTAGGTCTGGAGCAGGGGGTTGGACAGCAGCCGGGCTATACCCTTGAGGATGAACTGGAAGTCCTGGGGGTGAGGACAGAGCAGCAGGCCTGTCCAGCATGATCCCCACAGCTCCAACTTCCCAGCCTAGGCCCCCCAGAAATGCCTCCTCCTTCCCCCAGAGCCAGATCCCACCTCCAGAGACCGAGGGCCCTGATGCTATCATCCATAGCTATCCTGGGGCGATGCCTCAGGAAACGGAGTCCCTCATAGGTGTGGACAACCCTGGCCCCTCCACCAGACTGTAGACTCTCTGTCCTTGGGCTGTGCACCCCTTGAGCAAGGCTGCCGCTCCCAGTGAGCTCCCACACATGTACACCCTCAACCTCGCCCCTGCCCACCTTAGACTCATGGTTGACAGATTCCATCCTTCTACCCCTCCCCCAAATACTCCCCCATCACCCCATCACACTCGAGGGGCATTCCACTGTTGTGTCATTTACTGAGACCTGCCACCAGCTGGGGTGAGAAAGCAGCTAGTGTCCTGTGTTTTAGCTGCAGAAGTTAGAACTCTGGGAGTTCAAGCACCTTCCCACCAAGATCACAAGACACGTGAACTGGGACTGCCTGGCCTGAAGCCCTTGTCCACTGTCATTCCCCTCTCTCCCCACCACCTCTGAAATGACATCAGCTATCTCCTCCTAGAAGCCTTCCCAGTTACTTCTACCCAGGTGAGGCCATCAGCCCTTCCTGCACCTTGAAACCCTCACAGCCCTGCCAATATTTCATCTGGGGTGGCCCCAGACCACAGAGAGCATGGTTCCTTCATGGAGGGGTCAGGATCCCCCATATCCCTGTCTCACTTGCATCCCCCCGCCCCCTGCAAAGCCACTGTGGGGAATGGACTTGCCTCCTCACGATGGATGCGGGACAAGTAGTTCACAAACAGGTTCTCGGGGCCTGGAGGCTGCCAAGAGGAGAAGCCTGTGGTAAGCAGGCGTCCTCCCGGCCACCCGCAGCCCCAGCAGCTGCCCTTCATGCTCCCATCCTTACATCGGCATCATCCATGGCGGTGCCAGTGGTGGTGCCGTCCACAGTGGGGCTGGCACTGCTGGCACTGTCGTGGTCCAAGGTGACAATGAGCACCTGGGCAGCCTCCTCCACCAGGGGCTCCCGGTAGTCAGAGAAGAGCAGGTGGTTGTAGGGGATCCCGTAGCCCACAGGGTCATAGGCACACACGGTGTTGAGGAGGGAGGTGAAGAGGGGCAGGGCATGTCTGCAGCAGAAGAGGAGACAAGGCTGCAGAGGCTCCACCGGGGCCCAGCCCCCTGGCCACACCCCTCTGGCCACATGGGAGGGTCACCCTCATTCAACAAGCATTTTAGCGCCAGGCCAGGGAGTGGCTTGGAAAGAGTGGGTGGGGGAAGCCCAGAACCATGAGTAGGGCACATTCATACCCCTTAGGGTCTAAAGGGGCAGATACCCTCCCTCAGGGCCTCAGAGATGGGATTGGAGGCCCATGGAGAAGGCAGGCTTCCCCTCGGGGAGCAGAGCCCAGGCTCAGCCAACCAGTTCCCAGGCCACAGAATGACTCCACTCAGACTCAAGAGATGTCAGGGTTCAAGCTGCTCGTCTTACAGATGAGGAAGCTGAGACCCAGAGAGGTTAAGTGAGGGACAAAGGGTGGCAGTTTGCCTGATAAGGCTGGTGAGAAAGAAAGCTCTGGCCAGCCTCTGACCATGGCTGGTGGAGGGGACTGCCTGGCTGCCTTCTCTTCTGGAGTAGGGTGGAAGGTTGAACAGAAGACTAGGAAACCTGAATAAGGCGTGTCATGTAGGGACCAGAGTCTGAAAGGCGGAGGTTGACCGCCACCTGCTGGGCACTGACCCTATGCGGCCAGCGCAGCTCCCCGTGGGAGCTACCTGCTCAAATACTCAACCCTGCCATGTGACACGTGTGACAGCCCCCCGCCCCATGCTCACGTGTCCCCCACAGTCCATGAGTGCCTCATGTGGGCTGGGCCTCCCTGCCCTTCGGGGTATTTGTCACACATACACCCCAACCCGGTCTCTAAACTGCAGGATCCCACACAGCAGCCTCAAGCCACAAGGAGCTGTCGAGCCCTTGGAATGTGGCTGATTGGAACTGAGACCTGCTATAAGTGCAGAATACACACTGGATTCTGAAAACTTAGTATGAAAAGGGGGATGTGGGCCGGGCGCGGTGGCTCAAGCCTGTAATCCCAGCACTTTGGGAGGCCGAGGCGGGTGGATCACGAGGTCAGGAGATCGAGACCATCCTGGCTAACATGGTGAAACCCCGTCACTACTAAAAATACAAAAAACTAGCCGGGCGTGGTGGCGGGCGCCTGTAGTCCCAGCTACTCGGAGGCTGAGGCAGGAGAATGGCGTGAACCTGGGAGGCGGAGCTTGCAGTGAGCTGAGATCGCGCCACTGCACTCCAGCCTGGGAGACACAGCGCGAGACTCCGTCTCAAAAAAAAAAAAAAAGAAAAAAAGAAAAGGGGGATGTGCCAGCCGGGCGCGGTGGCTCACGCCTGTAATCCCAGCACTTTGGGAGGTCGAGGCAGGTGGATCACGAGGTCAGGAGATTGAGACCATCATGGCTAACATGGTGAAACCCTGTCTCTACTAAAAATACAAAAAAATTAGCCGGGCATGGTGGCGGGCGCCTATAGTCCCAGTTGCTGGGGTGGCTGAGGCAGGAGAATGGCGTGAACCCGGGAGGTGGAGCTTGCAGCGAGCCGAGATCGCACCACTGCACTCCAGCCTGGGAGACAGAGCGAGACTCCATCTCAAAAAAAAAAAAAAAAAAGGGGGGGGGTGTAAAACAGCTCAATAATGTTGTATACTGATTCCATGTTAAATGCTAAAGTTTGGGGTATATCGGGTTATATGAAATATATTATTAATTAATTTTATTTATTTATTTATTTTTTGAAACGGAGTCTCACTTTGTCACCCAGGCTGGAGTGCAGTAGCGCAATCTCGGCTCACTGCAACCTCTGCCTCCCCGGTTCAAGTGATTCTCATGCCTCAGCCTCCTGAGTAGCTGGGATTACAGGCGCCCACCACCAAGCCCAGCTAATTTTTGTATTTTTAGTAGAGACAGGGTTTCACCATATTGGCCAGGCTGGTCTCGAACTCCTGACCTCAGGTGATCTGCCCACCTTGGACTCCCAAAGTGCTGGGCTTACAGGTGTGAGCCACCGCGCCTGGCCCAATTTTACTTTTTAACGTTTTTTAATTTTAAAATTGCACTCGTGGTTTGCATCCTATTTCTACTGGACAGGCGGCTCTTGATGGAGAACCCAGGGAGGGATCACTGAAGGGCCCCCAGATTCTGTCCTGTCCAGGACTCCAAAGAGAGACTGAAGGGGTTGGTGTAAGGTGTTGCTGGTAAATTAAAGTTTATCACCACCAGGGGGCAGCACCTCCCCTCAAACGAGACCCGGGGCTGGCGAGTGGACTCATTTCTGGGTTGCCTGGAATAAGAGGGAGGAGAGCGGCAGAAAGGCGGGACCTCACCTGTTCTCCGTGGAACAAAAGAACTGAACCCATGGGTTGGTGCTGCCACTTTCCGGAGCTGGGGGCAGGTACATGGCCTCGGAGAAGCATGTCAGCAGCAGTTTCAGCAGCTCCATCCTTGGAGGGGGGAAGGGGGGGACCTTAGAATCCCAGTTCCCTCTTGGAGGTGCCGCCCACCCAGCCTAGCGCCCCAGTCCAGGTCCGTGGAAGGAAGTGACCCCTGCTGACCCCTGTAAGGCCAAGGTCGGGTCACAGGTGAGGACAGTCTTCTGGGGAGAGCCCATGGGCGCTCTCTGAGCTATGTGGGGGCCCGGCCCGGGGCCCAGCTGCAAAGAGGGCTCTGGGCCTGGGCAAAGCTCACCGGTTCATATCGTGGATGTAGTTAGGCTGGGGGGAGTGAGCGAAGCCCACACCAGCCTCCCAGATGTATTCACAGCTGTCCAGGGAGTGGACGTCCTCCGCCGAGTCCTCGGGACAGGGCCAGGAAGAGGCCAGGTTAGGGGTCGAGAGGTGAACAGCAGCCCGGGTCAGAACCCTACCACCTAGAGCCTCGCACAGTCCCATGGGGCAGAGACCCCCCATTCTCTTAAAGACAGGTCCTCAAAATGGCCCGGTCCTCATGCACAAGGGCAGGAATGAATATTCTTAGGCCTCTTGAAAGCTCGTTTTTCTTCCATCTCACACTGGTTCTTTCACTTGCTCAGTCCAGCATGGGACAGGGAGAGAGGGAGGGAGGGGCAGGGGATTGGGTACCGCGGGTTTGGAGGTGGGCAGAGAACTCAAGGTGAAGTCCATGCCGCCACAGGAAGCAAGAGGGCCAGGCCTCCTGTGTCCGAGCCCTGCACCCCACCCACCCTGGGCAGGCAAAGACAATGGGTGTCTGTGCCCAGCCATCCGAATGCAGCAGGCAGGGCCAGCCCCAGCTGGCTTCCCTCCAGCTGTACCAGTCACCACCCAGGCCTACACGTGCCAGGCAGCTCAGCTCTCCTGGAGCCCCCTGGCCCCCAGTGCAATCTGCCCAAGGGAACTTCAACTGGCCCGGCCCCAACCCAGGACCGGAGCCTGCTCTGCCTGGGGGTGGGCGGCTGGGGGACCCTCACCACAGTGCTCCTCCGGTGGCTCTGGACTGTGAAGTCCGGGCAGAAGAGCAGGTCAGCAATGGCCAGGAGCAGGGACTCGGCCAGGGGCCTGGCATTCTCATCATCCTCTTCTCCCTGCTGGGGACACAGCACCCACAGGCTGCCTCAGTGATAGCTGGCCAGGGAGAGGTGGCCCAGGGCTTACGGGGTGGTGGAGGACAGGGGCTGAGCCCAGGCAGGCACCCATGGGCAGAGGAATGAAAGGACAGGAAGTGGACTCCTGGTTGCCCCAAACCTCCCAAGGCAGAAGTGGGGCAGAGCAGGGAGCCTGGCCGGGAACAGCAAGGGAAACTCCCCTACCGACTGGTGGGGACTGGGCAGCGACCCCCAACATCAAGAGTCTCAGCCCTGCTAGGAATCGCTGTGTTGCATCCCTTGGTACCTCACCCAGAGATAAACCCAGGGCAGGTGGTGTGGGGGAGAGAGGACAGTACGGTCCCTCTCCGGCCCTCAGAGGGCCCAGTTCCTCTGCCCCCACCTCTGCCCGGTGACCCTTGGCTCTCAGCTTCTCTCCACACCCTACTTCTTCTGGACTGTGGACACAGAAACCCGCATGGGAGGGGAACTGAGGGCCCAAGGAGGTGGCGTGAGCACCATCCCTCAGCAGTACCCACTGGCCCCACCCCCGCACTTCCCAAATCCCAGAAGAGGCTTGGAGGAGCATGGCCGGCCCTGAAGGGCGCTCTCCCTGTGACGCCAACTCTGCCTCCCACTCAGCCCTGGCCAGGCCCACAGACCCCTCCTCGCCCTGCCCCGGGCACTGTGGACCAGAAGAAGCCCCTCCAGTCGGGATCCTCAAAGATGTAGGGCAGCACGCGGGTGAGCAGCCGGCTGCAGTTCAGGACAATCTGCTTCTCCTTCTCCGAGTGGCAGCCACTCTCAGCTCCCTGTACCAGCTTCTCAACGGCCTGTGGGGGCAGGCAGGAGCAGAGGGCAGGCTGGAAGGTGGGGAGAGGACCCTGGCACTTGGGGTCAGGTGGGCATCCAGGCTGCAGAGGAGAGACAGTGGGGCCACAGGCGGAGGAGCCACCTGGAGTCGGGGTCAGCCAGCCTGGGGGGACGGGGACACAGGCCAGAGCAGCTTGAAGCATCAGGACAGCCAGGGCCCAGGTCATCACCGGATGGCTGAGGCCTTGCTAAGTGAGTCTCCCAGCCTCAGTTTCCCTATCTGTAAACTGGCGACACTAGCAGTACCCACCCCACAGGGGGAGCTGAATGAACCGATCTATAGAAGGTGCTCACTTAGATGTGGCCCGGAGGATTCCCCCATAAATGGCGGCTGCCATGGTCCCTCCTCCCAGCGAGGAGACCCACAGAGAGAGAAGTGGGAGAGCTGGATGAAGCCACAGGGCTGCCCGGACCTGGGGGTCGGGAGGTCCTGGATATGCCTGCCTTCTCCTGCTGTGGGTTGGGAGGGTGGAAGAGTGGCAGCGAGGGACTGGGCAGCCCTCACCTTGTAGCACAGGGTGGCCAAGTTGGAGGGTGACTCTTCCCGCACGGCCCGGATCTCTGCTGCTGGCACCAGTGCAAACACATCCTGCACCGAGGTGGCTGTGTCTGCCCAGAACTGGTCCCAAAAGGCATCATCGGTGGCTTCCACAGGCTGTCGGGGGACCAAGGGTCCAGAGTTACACAACTCCTGGCCAGACGGCCCACAGTTTGCCCAACCTGTGACCAGGAGAGACCCCGAGAGGGAAGCCAGAGTCCCCCTACCAGCTGGGGTCCCAGAGCCTTCCCACATGGGTGGGGGACATCCTTCAGCCACCACAACCCCTGGATAGCACAGTCAGGCTGGAGACACTGGGCGTGCATGGTCGGGGTCAGCTAGGCACAGTCAGCCAAAGCCCAGCACCACCCCTGAGGGGCTGTGTGACCCTGGTTAAGTCACCATCCTCCCCTGACAAGGCAGGCTGACCTCGCACCTCGGCACAGCCCCAGGCCACACCATTAGGTCAAATGCCCGGGGATCCAGGTCAAGACTGTGCTCTCTCTCCATGGGAAGAAGACCAAAGGCAACTTGTACTCCGTTCCCAGTCACCCAGGCTGCCCGCCACAGGCCTCCAGTCTCTACCCTCTCGCAGCACACCCAAAATAGCTGCCACATCTGGTGAATTCACCTCTGCGGCTCTCGGACCCCAACTCGCCCCTCTCAGCGCCCACCTCCAGTGCTGCAGCTCAGGCTGCCCTCGCCAGGGCTCCCGCCTTCACATCCACCTCCTTCAATCCTGCCTCTACGTTGCTGCCCACCCATGCACCAAGGTGGCATCCTGCATGTACCGCTGCCACAGGCACTGCTTCCTCACCCAGAGCCCTTCAAGGGCTCCCCACTGCCTGCTGGGACAAGTCCAAATCTCAGACCAGCACTCAACCAAGATCTCACAGAAACATGCCTTACCCACATGCACACAGACACACATGCATACACATGTGTATGTTATACACACACACACCTGCATTTACTACCCCAGGACTCCACCCTGCCATCTCTTCTCTTTACCTTCACCTGAGCTGTTCTCTCTTCTCCTCTTTCCCTTTTCCCCACAACAATGTATTCCAAAATCCATTCCCACAGAGGCAACAGGCCTTAAAAACACACATGCCCAGCCGGGCACAGTGGCTCATGTCTGTAATCCCAGCACTTTGGGAGGCCATGGCAGGTGGACTCCCTGAGGTCAGGAGTTCGAGACCAGCCTGGCCAACATGGTGAAACCCTGTCTCTACCAGAGGCAACAGGCCTTAAAAACACACATGCCCAGCCGGGCACAGTGGCTCATGTCTGTAATCCCAGCACTTTGGGAGGCCATGGCAGGTGGACTCCCTGAGGTCAGGAGTTCGAGACCAGCCTGGCCAACATGGTGAAACCCCGTCTCTACTAAAAATACAAAAAACTAGCCGGGCGTGGTGGCGGGCGCCTGTAGTCCCAGCTACTCGGAGGCTGAGGCAGGAGAATGGCGTGAACCTGGGAGGCGGAGCTTGCAGTGAGCCGAGATCGCGCCACTGCACTCCAGTCTGGGTGACACAGCGCGAGACTCCGTCTTAAAAAAAAAAAAACAAAAAAACAACAACAACAACATATATGCCCTTCGAGTCATCTAGGCAGTCATCTAGGCAATGAAGGCAACTAATTTGAATCATAAATTTCACTTCTAGAAACCTCTCCAAAAGAAATCATTAGAGATGTGCACGCGGGAGCATGTATATTGTTGATAGCAGTGCAAAGTTGGAATCAACCTAAATAAACAACAATTGGAGAAGGCTTAAAAAATGAAGGCAAAGCCATACAAGTGAATATTATGCAGCCATCAGAATCATGTTTTCCAAGAATATTAACAAATGGAAAATGATTACACTGTTACGTGGAGAAAAAAAAAAAAAAGACAAGATGGCCAGGCACAGTGGCTCACGCCTGTAATCCCAGCACTTTGGGAGAATGAGGTGGGTGGATCACCTGAGGTCAGGAGTTTGAGACCAGCCTGGCCAACATGGTGAAACCCTGTCTCTACTAAAAATACAAAAACTAGCCGGGCGTGGTGGCAGGCACCTATAATCCCAGCTACTCAGGAGGCTGAGGCAGGAGAATCACTTGAACTCAGGAGGCAGAGGTTGCAGTGAGCCAACATCATGCCACTGCACTGCACCCTGGGCAAGAAGAGCAAAACCCCATCTCAAAAAAAAACACACACACACAAGATATAAAACCTCCTCTAGGATGGTCACAATTCATTTTAAATTATACATGAATAAAAGACTAGAATAGGCCGGGCGAAGTGGCTCATGCTTGTAATCCCAGCACTTTGGGAGGCTGGGGCAGGTAGATCACGAGGTCAGGAGTTCAAAACCAGCCTGGCCAAGATGGTGAAACTTCTCTACCAAAAATACTAAAATTAGCCGGGCATGGTGGCAGGTGTCTGTAATCCCAGCTACTCAAGAGGCTGTGGCAGAGAACTGCTTGAACCCAGGAGGCGGAGTTTGCAGTGAGCTGAGATCGTGCCACTACATTCCAGCCTGGGTGAAAAAAAAAAAAAAAAAGAAGAAAATGAACCAGAATGTTAATAGCAACTCTCCCTTTGGATGGTTTTATATTTTTCTTTATGTTTTTCTGTAAGAACACGTTACTATTTTTCTCCTCTTGAATGTTCAGGGACCAGAGTGTCCAAGGCACGTGCACCTCCTCAGGCCCATCCCTTTACGGATCCTTCCAAGTATCACTTCCAGCAAGACCCCTTCCTGCTTTCTCCAACACGGCTTTCTTCCTTCTCTGAAATCCTACAGCCAATAAAACCTGAGGTTGCTGCTACCACCACACGTCTGCACTTCATACACGTTACTCTTATCATCAGAAAACAATATATATCTTGTTTAAAAATAATTCTGGGGCCGGGCATGGTGGCTCATGTCTGTAATCCCAGCACTTTGGGAGGCCAAGGTGGGAGAATTGCTTGAGCCCAGGAGTTCACGACCAGCCTGGGCAACATGGTCATTGTAGGGACCCTGTCTCTACAAAAAATAAAAACAAATTCACCAGGTGGGCCCGCCCAACCTCTAAGGAGGCTGAGGTGGGAGGATCCCATGAGCCCCAAAGGTCAAGACTACAGGGAGCTGTGATGGCACCACTGCCCTCAAGCCTGGGCAACAGAGCAAGACTCTGTTAAAAAAAAATAATAATGGCCAGGTGCAGTGGTTCACGCCTGTAATCCCAGCACTTAGGGAGGCCAAGGCAGGCGGATCACAAGGTCAGGAGTTTGAGATCACCCTGGCCAATATGGTGAAACCCCGTCTCTATTAAAAATACAAAAATTAGCTGGGTGTGGTGGTACATGCTGTAGTCCCAGCTACTCAGGAGGCTGAGGCAGAAGAATCGCTTGAACTCGGGAGGCGGAGACTGCAATGAGCCAAGATCACGCCACTGCACTCCAGCCTGGGCGACAGAGTGAGACTCTATTTCAAAAATAATAATAGTAATAACAATAATAATAATAGGCCAGGCGTGGTGGCTCACACCTGTAATCCCAGCACTTTGGGAGACCGAGGTGGGCGGATCACAAGGTCAGGAGTTTGAGACCAGCCTGGCCCAACTAGGTAAACCCCTCTGCATACTAAACATGCCCAAAATTAAGCCGGCATGGTGGCCGTACTGCACCTGTAATTCCACGCGACTGCGGGCGAAGGCTCAGCCGCAGAATCACTCTGCACACGCCCGCGAGGGGGGAGGTTTGGGCAGTCGAGCTGCAGATGCGGCCACTGCCTCCGCAGCGCCGCCGCTGGCGACACGAGTAAAAGACGACTTCCAATCCGATCCGAAAAATCAACCAGTTAACAGCGCAGCGTCGCGACACTACCGTGGCAACATAGGTGGCTTACACCTGTAATCCCAACACTTTGGAAGGCTGAGGCAGATGGATTGCTTGAGCCCAGGAGTTTGAGACCAGCCTGAACAACATGGCAAAATACCATCTCTACAAAAAAAAATCAAAAAAAATTAGCTGGGCATGGTGGCACACACCTGTCATCTCAGCTACTTGGGAGGCTGAGGTGGGAGGACTGCCTAAGCCCAAGGAGGTTGAAGCTGCAGTGAACCAGGATCGTACCACGGCACTCCAGCCTCGGTGACAGAGTGGCTCACACCTGTAATCCCAGTGCTTTGGGAGGCTGAGGCGAGAGGATCACTTGAGCGCAGAAGTTGGAGACCAGCCTGGGTAACAGACCCTATCTCTACAAAAAAAAAAAAAAAAAGAAGAAGAAGAAGAAGAAGAAAAAGAAAAAGAAAAAATTAGCCACGTGTAGTGGCACGCACTTGTAGTCCCAGCCACTCAGGAGGCTGAGGCAGGAAGATCGCTTGAGCCCAGGAGTTCAAGGCTGCAGTGAGCTGTGATTATGCCACTGTACTCCAGCGTACATGACTGAGACCCTGTCTCTAAATATTTAATAATAATAATTCTGTTCTCTGAAGCTACTTCTTCTAAGAAGCCTCCCAGAGCCCCAGACTTGCTTGCTCCCACCTGGGAACCTCCGGCCCCACCCCTCCCCCCGCCCTGCGTAGTTCCTGCCTCCACAGTCTGGGTGCACGTGCTTTGAAGCCCTGTCAATCCCTGACCTTGCCGGTAAAGCATATGGCAGATGTTCAGCCAATGTTTGTTCCACCAAAGCTGCGCTCAGTCCTGGGGACCCCTTCAGCCTGACCACAGAGCAGGGCTGAGCACCAGTGGACCTCCCCAAACTCAGAGTTGGGGTCGCATGCCTCACCAAGGTCCAGGCATACCCCAGCCCACTCCCCGAGCAGACACCCCCACCCCACCCCAGGGAGCTGCAGGGTAACATGTGGCCATGATTCTCAGCCCCAGAACTGGTAGAGCCAGTTCTTCACTGGGGGAGAGGAACAAAGGCTAAAGGAGGGCCGTGGGGCTGGGGTTTGTTGGCCCTTGGGCCCTCAGCCAGGACAGCCCTCTGGCACTCCCTGGAGTGCAGGGACATGGCACCCCAGTGCCATGGTGGGGTAAGGAAGGACATCCCAGGAAACCCACAGAGCCATCTGGGAGTGCCTCCGGGAAGCTGCCATCCCTGACACTTTTCCCATCTCCCAGGCAGCTACTACCCCCTTCAAAG